TTTCTGAGACTGCTTTTGAAGAAAGGAAATGTCTTATTAAGCTACAAGATTGGTTTTTTTTATTATTTTAAGACTTACGTTTGGTGATTATTGTACGTATAGTGAACTCAGGAGTACTTCCACATTTTAAAAACCTCCTGAAAAATATAGCTATTTAGCTTGAGTGTTAATTTAGTGTTATTTTTTTCCCTTTTTCCAGGAAAGTTACGGGATCACCTAGGCACTTATGATGTGGCATTCTACCTAGCAGGAGTTCCACCTATTATTGGAGGAGCTATATTATGTGCCATCCCATGGGTGCATGAAAAGAGGAAACGCAAAGAACAAGCTACACCAGTGAATGAAGAAACCACAGTAAAAATGCTGGAAATCAAACCCCTACCTATATCGGACTCATATGAGAAACCTAGCAAAGAATCAGATTCTGTTATTTAATATTGCTATTTTTTTCTACCAGATTGAATTTATTTTTATAAAATTAGGTAGCTTTCTGTTTGTAAACTGAGTGCACCATGGTCATGCTTTTTGGCAAAGGTATGGCGAGCAGTGTGGAAAAAGTATGAAGAAATCTTTTCAGCTGTTTTTGGTTGCATTTACAAAATACGTTTCCACTTTTATATGACCAATGTTATAACTGAATATATGCTAGTGAATGTGTAAGTAGAAATATATGAATGTATATTTGGGAGTCAAGATCTGTCCTGTCTTATCAGCTGATTTCCTCCCAATCCCTTCATTTTAAAATCTGTCCAGCAGAGTGATTCAGCTGGAACTTTTAGTAGCATCTAGTGGTTTTAAAACTATTATTGCTAATTTTAAAAAGTTTCGGGGATGTAGATTCAGGGTTTTTTAAATTGCGGTAATTTTTTTGCAAAATGACATCTGCTCTTTAGAGTGCTACCAAGTTGAATAATGTCTCGTTGTGTGATTTGCTTCTTGGTGACGTTTTGGCCTTGTTTGATTCAGTCCATGCCATATTGCTTCTGAAGGGAATATAAGGTCCAGCTTAATCCAAACTTACAAATTGTAAGTTACCTAACATAACTTACAATTTGAGCATTTATTTTTACAATATTGATATGTGCAGGATAAAACAGGATATTATAATGCAATACTGACACTTATTAGTTTTTTGTAAATTTTCTGTTGCTTAAAATTTAGCAGTTCCATTCTGTATTGCTTCCTGTCTCAATATAGATAGTACTATAGTAAAATTAGGGGTATTTCATACTGAATAATTCAATTAAAGGCCGATTTTCTTTTCATGTGTATATGGGAAAGAATGTGCTGAAACACATGACTGTCATGTCATATAGTGCCTAGGAATTATAGTTCAAGCAATTATTTGTTAATAAGATTTTAATATTACAGGTAGTCCTCACCTTATGACCATAACTGAGATTGCAACTTTTGTAACTAAGTGAAGCAGTTATTAGATGAGTCACACCCAATTTTATGACCTTTTTGCCATGATTATTAAGCGAGTCACATGGTCATTAAGTAAATCCAGCCTTACCCATTGACTTTGCTGGTTAGAAGCTCCCTATGAAGGTTTTAAATGATGATCACATGAACCAGGACATTGTACCTGTTGTAAATACATGCCAGTTGCCAATCACCCCAATTTTAATCACTATGGGGATTCTACAATGGTCGTAAATGTAAGGACTGGTTGTAATTCATTTATTTCAGTGCCTTTGTAGCTTCAAGTAGACGCTAAACAAATGGTGATAAGTCAAGGACTATATGAACATATGTTAAGTACACTGACGTGAATTTTTCAGTTATATTTGCATGTTTTTATTATTGATTCAGAGTTCAGCAATTTTACATGTGACTTGCTTTCTCTGTTGTTTTATTTTCAAATCAAAAGATATGTTTAAGATAGCATTAATTATTCAAGTTTCAGTACCGCTGTGCATTTCTCTGGTCCTTCCTGTGCAATAGCACAGTTGTTAAAAATAACAATCCTGTGGATGAAGGCCAAATTCTGATTCTATCTTGCTCAGGTCCTGTGCTCTGCATCAACAGCAGAAACAAGCAGGATAGATACTGAGAATGACGTGGCAACACCCACATGGGTTATCTCTCAGTATTTTGAAATTAAAGCTGCCTTTGGCTGCATAGACTCTCCAGGTCTTGCGGTATTCTATCATTTTTTCTCAATAGAGGCATTTTGCAGCATCCAGTTCATCTTAGCAGCTCTTTAGGCCTCCAGCTGAAGGATGTAAACTGGCCATCAATTATGTACTATGTACATACTCATACTTTTTTTCACCTGCAGTAAGCAACATTATGCAGTGTGCAAAATAAGAAATAGTGAACCCGTCAAATTAAAGCCTCAAGATAAGGAAACGTGACTAAATCTGATTTAGTTTCATGCTAAAGTATTTCATCACTTCAAATCAATTCACTCTATTTCTCTACCTAGTCTCCAAAGAAACTAATCAAGGAGAGAACCAACCTAGAACTAAAGAGAAATATCCTGGCAGAACAATTAATCAGTGGAATGACTTGCCTCCAGAAGTTGTAAATGCTTCACACTGGAGGTTCTTAAGAAGAGATTGGACAACCATTCGTCTGAAATGGTATAGGCGGTTGAATGGTATAGGCTGAAATTGAGCAGGCGGTTGGATTAGAAGACTTCCAAGGTCCCTTCCAATTCTGTTACTACGTTATTTGACCATTACTACATTATTTGACCATTTTCACCCACTTCTAAAATATTTCTTTTAGTTTCACTGAAGCTTTTCCTCTGCCTCTTTCATTCTTGAATGCATTCTTTCATCCTTGCTCTATTTGACTGCATTTTTTCAACTATATATTTTCCTTTTCCTGATAAATCTATCAACTACTATTTTTATACTTTCTATTAGCATTACATCACATAGTTCTGCGGCACTCAATGATTGATTACTTATGTGCCATCAGTTGAGTGTTGACTCTTTATCAGCCAGATAGATATATTTTCTCCATGACAGCCTTCCCCTAACCTGATCTTTCAGTATCAGTGTTTTCATTCTGTTCCAGCGAATGCTGGCTGGGGAATTCTGGGAGTTGAAGTCCGGACATCTTCAAGTTGCCAAGGTTGAAAAACACTGGTCTAGGTCCTTTCACCTTATCATTCACCTTATCATCATCTTTTCATTCATGGGGTCATTCTAGTTTCAGTCATATTTTGTTTTAGGGTTTTCCCCATTAAGTTCTCTTTTCTCTCAAATCCATTCTTTACACTATTCAAAAATGGTGGTAGTTTCATAAACATACTCTCTGTACATCCTTACATTCTTTACTAATTCTCTTAACCTTTCATCATAATCATTTTTGCACATGAATGAACTTACATTTAAAGTACATATTTGAAACAGATTTTTCTAAGCAGACATTTACCAGTTACCATTCTTACTTGTTCTTGGGTCTCTAAATTGCTCATTTAGGGTTTTTAAAAAGTTTTTATTTTATTTTAATTGAACAAAAACACAAAAAAAGAATCATCATTCATTACATCTTGTATAGAAAGCGTGTCGATTGGTTACAAATAACTTTTGTGCATTTCTTCCACAGTCATTATTTATA